TGTTATAAATACTTATATGTGTAAATCATACATTTCGGCTATATATACATATGCACATGTCCTTCGCAAAACAGTCTCACCCATAGCGATTCGATTCACTGAGGTTGCCAACCATAGCCGCTATTATGATGCAGATCGCCATCACGTGGCACCATCGCCAACACCCGTTAAGCGGTAGGAGGCAGGAGGCAGGAGGTAGGAGGAGGGAAATAGGATGTAGGTGATGTAGGAGGTCGGAGGTAGGAGGATGAGGACTAGAAGGAGGAAGAGGAGGAGGAGGAGGAGGAGGAGGAGGAGGAGGAGCAGGAGGACGACGACAACGACGACGAGGACGAGGAGGAGGGGGGAGGAGGAGGAGGAGGGAGGAGGAGGAGGGAGTAGGAGGAGGAGAAAGGGGGGGGGGGAGGAGGGAGGAGGAGGGAGGAGGAGGGAGGAGGAGGGAGGAGGAGGAGGAACCACACAACATACATTGCACTGCGTAGCGCATACCACATACATCGAACCACATCGATTGCGAAACATAGCTTGCACCACATAGGGTGCACCACATAGATTGTACCATATTGCTTACGTGGTGGCCTACGCTGCCTTTTTTTTGAGCTTGAGCGTTTGGTCGATGTTGTTTTGTTGTTGAAGTCGAGGTGTGGCCTTTGAGCTAGAGTGCTGGTTTGAGATTGAGTTTGTGTTCGTTTTGAGCTTGAGATGTGTTTGTTTGGGCTCGTGGTTTATTGTCTGAGCTCGAGTTGTTTCCCTCCGTACCTTTTTGGGGGAGCAAGGGTCGAGACCAGTCTTGTGGAATGGCGTCGCCCAGGCGCCAGTAAACGGAGGTCGACGTCAAGCTGCTTGCCGATGCCCTCGAAAAAGTGCCGTCCTCTTTGGTGCAATCGTCCAACTTCTTGCCGTATGCCCACACTCTCGACTTCAAGAGGGCGCCGTCTTGGGAGAAGGCGGCCAAGTATTGCGATGCAATCAATTTCATTCTAGAGAGCTCTGGAGGTCGGAACGTCCACCAGGTCAACATGATGAGCGGATTCAAACATTGGGCTGCGTCTACAGGGGCGGTGACATCAGCGCGCAAGCTCTGGAGAAGGGCGCCTACGTCGTGAGAGCCATCATATCCCAGGCCGCCAACTACAAAAGCAAGCAAGGCACGTCTGTGCCTTCGATGTGGATGTACAAGTTCCAGACCATCTGGGACAAGATTGCGGTCACGGAGAAGAAGAATCAGACTCGCCCGCAGCAGAGTGACGAGGTCGAGGTGGCCACCCCTGAACCTAAGCCTATCGACGTGGTTGAGGTTTCGGATACAGGCCCCGACCCAGACGTGGACGAGTTGCTTCGTTCAGATGGCCCCAGCCTTCACCGCCTTATCAACGAGCTTCTGACCAAGCGGCTGAGGTCTAAGACTCAGATTGGTGATCAAACCTTGGACTTCACTGGGAAGATGAAGCCCAACATCGACGTCGTGGCCAGCATCGACGTCGTGGCCAGCATCGACGTCGCGGCCATCATGTCGACGTCGAAGGACCAGGCCAGCCACGGCACCTCTTCCAATAGCATCATCACGATGGCCGAGATGAAGGACTTGGTGGACCCCGATGCCCAGGGCATGACGCTCAAGGGATGGGCGAAGCTCAACCAGGACTTGAAGAAGGGCGATGCCAGGCTCGAGGGCACGAGAGTTGCGGAAGTTGGCAAGTGCAAGGGCCCCAAGGGCCTCATGAAGGCGATGGGGGCCGCGAAGGCCAAGAGCGCCTCGGACAAGCCGAGGCGACAGAAGCACCTCAACCACGTTCACTCGAAAGCCTACGGCCGTGAGAAGACGCGCTTGAAGAATCTGGACCTTGACGTCGCCAGCGCCGAGGCGAGATTGAAGCGTTGCCGGGCGTGCAAGGAGGCGAGGGATCGGGCGATCCATGAGGGTGATCCACGCAGTGCATGATGGGGGCTAGTCTTAGTCAGCTTTCAAGTCGCGCCCATGCGAACTGTTCGCCTGGCGGCGCGACCCCGCCTGCTGCGGCGCAGGCCGCGCCGAGGGGTCGGGCAACGGGCGTTCAGGGGGGGCAAAACAAAAACTCATCGCAAAGCTGCCTCGCATCATCTAACGCTGGGGCATCGGGGGTCGGCCATTGCAAGACCCGCGAATGCGCCCGGGGGGGGCAATGCCAACGAACAAATCCCAGGGGGGGGGGTCGGGCAACGCGCATTCTGAGAAGGACACCCTCGTCATAACGGTGAAATCTCAAATCGCATCATCGAACGTTGGGGGCATCGGGGCCGGCCAATGCAAGGCCCGCAAGCTAGGAAGAACAACGTGCCAACGCATAAATCGTGAGCACCAAACGTTACAATATTGCATAGTCAGCAGGGAGTGCGAACATCAAGCAACAACGAACAACACCAACAATTTAACCAACACGACCACCACCATCAACATCAACAACAACCACAACAACAATAACATCAACAACAACCTCAAACACAACAACAACATCAACATGATCAACACCACCACCACTGATAGCAACTGGCAACCATTTTGGCTCAAGATCCGCGCCGCCCATCCTCCGGGCCGCCAACTTTCTGCGGCCCTGTTCTCTTCCACGGGCGCTGCGTCCCTGCGCTCGTCCACTGACGGAACTATGGCACGCCGTGCGCTTCGCTTCAGCGCCAACGCACTTGCGGAGGCTGGTGCCGCCGCGAGCCAGGCGAGCGCCCCCGACGGCCTCGACCTCGCCGCGTTCGACAGCCTCGGCGCGCCTGCAGACAGCCAGGACTTCGCTGGCAGCCAGGTGGGCCAGACACCCAACGACGACACCCAGGGCGTCGCTGACAGCCAGGCGGTGGGCCAGACACCCCACGACGACACCCAGAGCTTCACTGCCAGCCAGGCGGGCCGCAACCCCTATGACGACACCCAGGACTTCGTTGACAGCCCGGTGGGCCAGATTCCCAACGACGACACCCAGGGCCTCGCTGACAGCCAGGCGGTGGGCCGCGACCCCGACGACGACGCCGAGGGCTTCGCTGACGGCCAGGTGGGCAAGGAGAACCCCGACGACGACACCCAGGTCATCGCTGACAGCCCGGTGGGCCAGGAGAGCCCCCGCGACGACAGCACAGGCGCCGCGGGCAGCCAGCCGCCCGCCGCCGAGCTTGAGGGCATCGCCGCGTACAAGCACCAGGTTGATGATGTCCTCGTTGCGGTTGGCGCGCGGGTGAAGAAGCTGAGCGGCATCAAGAATCAGCGCTACGCCGCGACGCTGATGGGCGACGCGGAGATGATCGCCACCAAGGCCGCCGCGCCCGCGTCCAACATCGCCGCCGTGCTCAACGGACCAGCCCCCGAGGATGCGCTCGAGCACCGAACAGTCGTCGACCAGGCGAAGGAGCTGGCGAAGAGCCTCGAGGGGATCAAACCGCACACTAAGTTCTTGAACGACGACTTCGAGAACCCGCTGAAGCGCCGCCCCAGCGATGGCGAGGAGCCCGCGAAGAAACTCAAGGTTGGTTAGGCGATGCCGCGCGGGATTTAGACAGTGAGCCGCATGTTGCCGCAGTGGCGCCCCGCGCCAGCTTCCAGGTTGCACTGCGCGGATGCCAGGGGCTCGCCAGAGCTCTAGACGGCAAAGGGATGAAGTAACTTCACGCCTCATCCTCATCTTCATCCTCCTCAATCCTCCTCGCTCCCCCCCTCCTCCTCCTCCTCCTCCTCCTCCTCCCCCTCCTCCTCCTCCTCCTCCTCCTCCTCCTCCTCCTCCCCCTACCTCCCCCTCCCTCCCCCCCCCCTCCCCCCCCCCCGTTCGCCGCCCCCCCCCCCCTCCCCCGCCCCCGCCCTTTCGCCCCCCCCCCCCCCCCCCCCCCTCCGCCCCGCCCCCCAGGGGCCCGAAGCACAGAAGGAGCCCGACACTCCAGAGGGGCCCCGACACTCCCCCCCCCCCCCCCCCCCCCCCCCCCCCCCCCCCCCCCCCCCCCTCGCTCCCCCACGCTCCAGAGGGGCCCGAACGACTCACACGAATTCAACTCCTCCTTCTTGCTCCGCCTGCTCCTGCTGCTCCTGCTCATACCTTGCTCGCCCGGGCTGCTACGCTGCTCGATCATCATCTCCCCCCCCCACCCCCCTGCCCCCGCATTGCTCGTTTAGGCTTCAAGCGGGCCAGCGCGGCCGTTGAGCCTGGCCGAGGGAGCCGCGGATTCCATTCAGAAGGCCCCGAGGCCACCGAGGGCCTTGCGGAATGGCTTCCTCTCGCACCCCCCCGGCTTCTTGGGCAGGCAGACTAGGAACAACAAGCACAACCCACACAACATAAACAACGGCAGCACAACATGCAGAAACATACAGAAACAAATACAGATTCTGTATGTTTCTGCATTTGCGCTTTTTGTGTAATACAGCCTTCAACGGATTAAAAATACAGAAAATGCAGATCCTGTGTTTTCTTGTATGTTGTTGTATTTTTTTTGCGTTCGAACCTCGAACTCGCGTCTTGGAGCTTCTGGGGTCCACCCAAGGCGTTCCGGAAGTTTCTGATGGGACCGCTCGGGGCCATTCTACAAGGCCCCAGGCGGCCTTCTCTCGACCCCGATGGCACCTAGGAAGGCCGAAGGGGGCGGCCTTGCCCGAGTTCGGGGTGACCGAGAAGGAGCTCGCACGGGCCAAGAGGGTCTTGGAGCCCGAGGCGGAAACGAGACGCCAGCGAGCGAACCTAGGGTGCCTGGGGTAAAACTTGGATAGACTACAGACAAATACAGAAAAATATAGAATTATGTATGTTTCTGGTTTTTTCTTGGTGCATGCATGTTTCGGAGGACGCAGAACGTGCCGAGCTGTGTGCGCCCATGGCTCTTCGCGGCCACGCTGCTCTAAAACTCATCTGGCGGGCTCGCCCCCGCGGGGGGTGCCGACCGAGGACCCTCGGAAGGGCGGGGTCCTTGGTTGACAGGACGCATGACAGGGTGGCCCGCTGAAGTCCAACGGCCTCAAAGACCCGCGGGGCAGCATGGACTCGAGGCGGAAGAAAGCGTTCTTTGAGCAGTGGTTCGCTGACAAGTTGAAGAGCACGCAGGGCGCGAACAAGCTGAAGACAACCCGCAGTTCCGTTAGCGAGACGAAGAAGGAGACATGCGTTGAGTGGATGTCCAAGGAGATGGCAGAAACAAGGTTGGGCCTTCAAAGGCCAGGGCAAACATCGCGCCAGGAAGGCTGGAGGGGCGGCCCGACCCCAACACGGGCCTCGCAGGGGAGAACGACTTGGAATGCAAGTTCTGGTTCGACCAGGGCGCTGAGACGGAGTTCGATCGGCGCCAGAAGGGCGCCGAGAACGACCGGGAGCTTGGCGCTGCGGAGAAGGTCGAGGAGGCAAAGGCGCACTTCGACTCCATCATCGACGGCGGTGCAGGCGGTTCTGGGGCAGCTGCGCCGTCTACGATTGAAGCGAAGAAGGAGTTCGGAGAATTCACCAAGACGGTCGAGAGTTTCAAGGCGGACCCGAAATCTACGTGCAGGAACGTTGCCACCGTTCTCACGGAGTTGAAGCGAATCTCCACGCAGACTAGAGACAACAAATATGCGGCGACGGTGCGCGGGGGCGCTAAGAGCTTGGCCCCGAAGGCGAAGCGCGTGTTCAACATCTTGAATGATCTCCACTCCGAGGATTGCAAAGTTGGTGCGGCGATTCTGGCAATGGCCCAGCTGCTCGACCCCTGCTTCGAGAAGTATAACGAGATCAGCGAGTGGTTCTCCAAACCCAACGGCGAGAAGCCCGCGAAGGAACTCGAGGTCATCTAGACATGTGAGCCGACTGTTGCCGCAGCTGCAACCCACGCCAGTTCTTTTTCCCGGAAAGGGCTTAAGCCCAGGGTTCTCTTTTACTAGGTAAACCTGTCCCCCGGTGCCTGCTTGAAGGAGGCCGGCGAATTTTTTCCCTGATAAATAACGAGCCGGCGAATTGCCGGCGAATTTTTTCCCTGATAAATAACGAGCCGGCGAATTGCCGGCGAATTTTTTCCATGATAAATAACGAGCCGGCGAATTAAAATTTGAGGATGTCTCGAGCGAAACGCTTGTTTTTGAAATCCCGATCGATAAATCACAGGGTGCGGGCCACTTTTTCGTGTGTTGAGGATGTCTCGAGCGAAACGCTTGCTCCGCAGAGTTTGCCGAGGATGTCTCGAGCGAAACGCTTGTTTTGCAGAGCCGACCGCGACGCGGAAAAGCGCCCCGCGCGAAGGAATTTCGATGATGTCTCGACTAATTCGTTTGTTTTTGTACGATTTCCTGGAATTTTGGCAGGATGTCTCGAGCGAAATGCACGACCCCACCCTAGCACGACCATACCCCAGCACGACCACACCCCAGCACGACCAGACCCCAGCACGACCCCACCCCAGCACGACCCCACCCCAGCACGACCATACCCCAGCACGACCACACCCCAGCACGACCCGACCCCAGCACGACCCTACCCCAGCAAGACCACACCCCAGCACGACCACACCCCAGCACGACCTCACCACAGCACGACCACACCCCAGCACGACCACGCCCCAGCACGACCACGCCCCAGCACGACCACGCCCCAGCACGACCACCCCCCAGCACGACCACCCCCCCAGCACGACCACCCCCAGCACGACCACCCCCCAGCACGACCACCCCCCAGCACGACCACAGCACGACCACCCCCAGCACGACCACACCCCAGCACGACCACACCCCAGCACGACCACACCCCAGCACACGCACGACCCGATCGATAAATCACAGGGTGCGGAGCACCCCAGCACGAACCCACCCCAGCACGACCCCACCCCAGCACGACCCCACCCCAGCACGACCACGCCCCAGCACGACCACACCCCAGCACGACCACTCCCCAGCACGACCCCACCCCAGCACGACCACACCCCAGCACGACCACACCCCACGACACACCCCAGCACGACCACCACACCCCAGCACGACCACCCCCAAACCACACCCCAGCACGACCGCACCCACACGACCTTACCACAGCACGACCACACCCCAGCACGACCAGCAACGACCACGCCCGCACGAGCACGACCACGCCCCAGCACGACCACCCCCAGCACGACCACCCCCCCAGCACGACCCCCCCCAGCACGACCACCCCCAGCACGACCACACCCCAGCACGACCACTCCCCAGCACGACCACACCGCCTTGGTTGAGTGGTTGCCTGTCGTCGTGGAATGTTTCGTGGGGTGTCTCGTGGAATGTTTCGCGGGGTGTCTCGTGAAATGTTTCGTGAGGTGTCTCGTGGAATGTTTCGTGAGGTGTCTCGTGGGCTGTTTCGTGAGGTGTCTCGTGGGATGTTTCGTGAGGTGTTGCCCAGTTGGGTATCATGAAAACGTGTCCATGCTCCACATGTCTATATCCCTTTCCGGGTTCGTGGGTCCATCATGTCTTTTTCACGTTGGCAACGCCAGGGGGCGAGCCGGAGATACGTTCTGGAAAGCATGTTTCGACGAGAGGGGTGTCGAGGTATCTCTGAGGTCGCAGGAGCGCGGTTGAAATCACGTGCTGTAGTTCGGGACGCACCAGGCTTCGAGAGAGGAAGTTGAGGAACCAGAGTGTCTCCTATCGAGCTGCTACCGTCAGACCTGTGCACGTCAGCACCGAGTGGGCACATTGCGAAGCACGAGCGGCAAGGCTAAACATGTCATAAACCACTGCAAGTCGCGCGGCGAGCGAGTGCACATATACACAAAAACAAACGCACAAACAAAAAAACGCACGACAGGAACCAGTGCGCCTTTCGATTCGCGCTGGACTCGAAAAAGCAAGCGACGACTGTTACGCGAACGACAGAAACAATAAGAACATAAAGGCACAGGTTCGCAGCACATGTGCGCGAACAAACACTTCGAGCAAACGACGGGAACACAACTACAATAACGCTTACGCAGAACACAAACAACCAACGTCAACATGTGCACACACAACAAAACGAACACAACAGCACAACGCGCAGGATATCATAACAACAAACACAACTATCGAAACCATGACCTGCATCACGTAGCCGCTTTCTCCTCAAGAAATCGGGGTGTGCTTCCAGAATGCACGCGCAGTTCCGCGTGCTGCTTTGCTTGGGATGTGAAACGCTAACAGATCCGACCCTTTTGGCCCTCCCCCCCCCTCCTCCGAGGAAGGAGGGTGGGGGGCGAGGGCTAAGAGAACTGGAAATCTGCTGCGTTCCCCCCCCCCCCCACTGCTTGCTCACGTCTGGCCTCCGCGGGGGCATCGGGCAGCGCATGGAGAGAGCGACGGAGGGCGCCGCCTCGTCTTCGGCACAGCCTGCAGAGGCCAATGGCATCAGGAGAAGGCTCCGGGGACAAGGCGGGGCCAGCCAGGCTTCAAGTTCCACGCCTTTCTCCTGCGCGACCAAGAGGGACTGGGGCAGAGGTAAGCTCCAAGCCAACGCGGCCCAGGAATGCGCGACGAAGGCGGCGGCCCAGGGCGCGCGAGACATGGGGAATATAGCATAGACGTCAGACACCAGGCGCGCCCATCGTGACTTTGCCAGGGCCATCGGCTGGCCGAGCACATATCCTCGCATGGGTTGGATCGATATCCCGACTCCAGATGGACCGTGCGCGCCGCATCCGATCATCTGCCCGATCAAGGTTTTCGAGAGCATGCTTCAAGACGTTCACAAGTTCAACAAGGTTTTGAGGGGCGACGATGGCGAGATCAAGAAATTCTGGAGGGGAATGCGACGGACCAAGACTTTCGATGGCGCGAGGGGTTTACTCGACTTCACTCGCACGATACTTTTATGAGTGCACGGAGACAAAGCAGCATGTACGAAAACGCAATCACTGATGAAAATTGCATGGACCAGCTTATTGGGCACAGGCTCCACGAAGGACACCCACCAAGTTTTCACTGTCATTCGGGCTGCCGATATGGTAGAAGGTACTCTGAGCGCCATCTGAGACAGATTCGCTTGGAGCATAAACTCGCTGACCGACGGGAAAATTCCACCGTTCGATTTTCGAGGCAACCTTCATCCAGAAGCTGGCAGGGTCATTGCGAAGGGGTAAATGGTTTCCTTGATCCATGTTCGAGCCGATTGGGAGTTTGCAGCACATCGAGAAACTGTGAATCAACCAGCCTGGAATGCTGAAGCTAATATGTGTTTCTTCTGCAATGCTTCAAATAGCGTGCCTGGGCTTCGGTGGAGCGGTTTCAGTGCAGAGGCAGGCTGGCGATCGACCAGGCGACCCCACGAATCCTACAAAGCTATGCTGGCACATGAGGGCACACCAGTGCCACCTTTGTTCAAAGTGAAGACGCTCAGGATGAAGGGTGCGCAGGTACATGTTTTACACGCTGTAGATTTGGGCATTGCTTCACACTGCGTGGCCAGAGTTTTCATCGAAGTCATGCGGGACAATTTGCATGGCAGAAATTGGCATGAAAAGCTGCGCGATCTTCAGGGCAGGCTCAAGGCGCATGGCAAGACGTCTGGCCATAAAATAGACGGAGCTTTGAGTTGTGAGCGAATCAAAACCAAAGGAGACCTGGCCGAAGCTAAAAGCTAAAGCCGCGAACGCTAGACACATTTCTCGTTTCGCTTTGCTGTTGTGCCAAGAGTTTAACAGCGGCAGTGCTCATGATATGAGGCGCCTGGGCGCCATGCAGCAGTTGGTTCGGTTTTGCGGTATCGTTGAAAATGAGTGCAGGTCTTTGACAGAGAGTGCGAGGTCAGAGCTACCAGTCATCGCAGAGACTTTGCTCACCATGTACGGCGCCCTTTCTCGCGAGGCGCTGGCTTCGCGGATCCGCCGTTGGAAACTGGCGCAGAAGTTCCACATGTCCCAGCATTGCTGCGATAGGCCAACGTTGAACCCACGGGCTGGGTGGGCGCGCGCAGATGAGGACCTTTAGAAACTCATCAATCTCGTTGGCATGTCCTGTCATCCTCGGCGGTTGGCCGAGCGAGTGTTTCACAAGTGGTTTGTATTCCTTGATGAGGCTGAGTGCGAAGCCTGACTTGGAGAAAAACAATGGAAAGCCACAAACGAACATGAAGGGTTTCTTGAACGCCCTGGCAACCTGCAAAGTTGACACAAAAGATAAGTGGACCATCACGACAGTAACATACGAATGAACAGCTGCAACAACAACAAAAACAAACATCGAACGCCACAAACAATGAAGCAACACAGCCAAACAAACTCACACGCTTTTTCTCCTTGCTCTCCCCAGCCCTCGTACTCCGCGGTACTTCCAACGCTTCAGCGTCGTCCCGCCAGCCCCCAAGATGGCCCAAGAAGGCTCCAAGACGGCCCAGGAGAGCCCCAAGACGGCCCCAGACGGCCCCACAAAGCTCCGCCAACACTGCCATGCAGCGAAACACCCTCCTTAAAAAAAAAGGTCCCTGTAATCCGAAATTACCTTTTTGCTTCTTGACTGGCTATGAAGAGGGCGACTGGGTGGTTGGGGGTCCACTTGGGCCGGGCGGTGTCCCGGGTGTCAGTAAGTGCGAAAGTCCGTTTCCTGTCCGCCGGTGGCCAGGAGGAGTTGCCCCGGGTGTCCCGGGTGTCCCGGGCGTCCCGGCGCTAACGCATGTCGCAAATTTCATCATTCATTGTTATTCGGCGACTGCGGCAGGCTTTCTTTTCCAATCCAGCTTATCTTATCCAATCCATCTTGTCCAATCCAATCCATCTTACCTTATCCAACCCATCTTGTCCCATCTTATCTTATCCCACCCAATCCAATCCACCCAACCCAATCCATCAATT